CATTCAATTAATGGTCGTTAGTTATCATCCAAGCAGATAATCAAATATGCGATACTTGCTTGCGATCGTTCATCGACAGTACGCAACTATTGCACCAATCAAATAAAAAGGATGTTTTAGTAGAATCATGATCGAACACAATTCCATCATTCGTTGCTCTCATGTCTGTTCGTTTTCCTTCTATACTTCTTCTTAGTGGTCCTCTTACTGGGTCTCATTGTAACATAACTGAATGTTTAGGGAATATCTACCTGTCAATACCTTCCTTAAGCTCACGGAGCATAAATTCGACGTAACGGGAAGTGGAAGCCTAGAATTGGTTTTCAAATTCCACACAAAATAAGACTTACTGCAGTTATGCAGTTCATTATCCTCATCTTCTGCACCCGGGCAATCCTCGTGCATATCACATAGCTGATCGTAGTCGATACATTTCCGATAGCCAAAACGATGGCACAGATATTTGCGGGTACGATTCGATTGGCATACGTTCTCGTACCAGATTTCCTCTGAAACTTGTTTGATTCATACCCTTATCATTACTGTTGTTCTCATGTACAATAGTGGAGAAGCGTTTTCATAGATTGTCTCATATCATCCAAGCAGATAATGCACTGAATTATTCCATTTATCCATCGCTTCAAGATGAGGGCAGTTCGATTTAGTGATTTATCGAAACAGTAATGATCATTCCCATCAAACATTTTCAAAAATCTCCTTGCTTTTATTCTTAGAAGTTATTTGGATCATGTCATTTTGTGAACAAACAAATAAGCAAACAAATATCACGTCATCTCATTCAACATCCATAAATCTGTCCATCCATCTATCAATCTGAATATGCAAAACGGTGGTTCAGTTGTCCTTTTCATAATCAAAGAAGGCACTACTAGCATCATTACTATCATCTCATCACTCAAACGAATTCCACCAAAGCAAAAGTGCATGACCGCTTCTTCATTCCCATTCTTCTTTGATACCACCCTCCATAGTCAGCTGACTGACCGATTCATTAACCAGTGTACTGTTTTGTACTGTAAACAAATGTGCAAAAATCAGTTTGAACGCATAACGTCATCTTCAAATAATTTGAAATTTTCATCCATCCATCTTTCGGCTTAATCTTATATCTGTTGTTTTAGATCATACTACGTCAGTTGAGATCATTTGAGTCAATTCGTCATTTGAACAATGCTTGATGACTACCAATTAACTGATAGTTCGAGTTCATGCAAGCCCAGGCCATTGGTCTTGTCACAGTGTTGGAGTCAACTCTGAACTCCGCAGCTCAGGTTGAATTCGAACTGATTCATAAATTGATCGAAAAATTATAATAGAATCATCATATCATATTGCATCAATAAATTACGGCTTACCGTCACATTTCAGCAACTCAATATTATCAATGTAGCACTCCGTATTCATCGAAGCAATATTCACATTTTTTGCAAGTGGAGAGTGACACTCGATACGGATCCTTGTCGGATGTGCAACGTGACCGATATGTACGCTCACTTCTTTCCATCTAAAATTTAGGATTCGATTGAAGAATAAAACTTTCTTCCTGAACAATCTCAGCTCAATTTCTGATGGAGAAGATAACAGTGAAGAAAATTTTTTTGAACGGACTTATCAGATTATCTTATTTCCAACACAACAGTTAACTGTTAGTAAAATTCTCATCAGTATCACCAAAATTACAAATGGTAACTGATCTCATGAGAAACTTACAGCATATTACACTCGCATGAATATATTATGTGTTGTCTACCGTTGTCAGCGAAATAACCTCTGGCATAGATCAAAATTTTCAAAATGATCAACAAAATCGAACCATTAGCAAAGTCACTCATTGATCAACAGATCAATCAGTCAACTATATTAATTATCACTACTGTAGCTGTCGAAACTTTGGATAGATTCTGGTAACATTCAGTAGCTTAATGGCTATCTTTATGTTGCAGTTGCTTGTTCGCATCATTTCATTAAGTGCTCAATTACTTGATGAGTTAAACAGTCATCAGAAATTCCAATGCTACGCGTTTGTCGTCGTACTGGAGAATGAGTTTCAAGCACAACAATCACAAAAAGTTGCAATTGTTATCAGTTCCGATTACAAGATAAGTAAGATGTTTAATCAATTCGATAATATGTCAATCTTCTTGACGGTTCAGTAGATAAACGGATGAATAAGGACGGACCCAACAAACGTATAGATAGAAAACAATTGTTGTTAGGAGTTATTTTCGGAACTTGTCAAATGTAAGAGACTCGTGATTGCCTCGTGTTTGAACTTTAGCATTGAACTTAACTTTTGGACATAACAATAGCGAACATAGTTACATCCGATATCTTTTGGTTATTTCATTTACTAATGTTGAGAGGAAATAAAGGATAAGTTGTTGTGCGTTTGCTTTTGCAGCAACGACATCCTGCCCTATCTTGCATTCATTCATTTATTCACTCACTCATTTGCTTTGTTAGCTGATGAGTTATATGAGCATTGGGATTTACAAATGCTCAGATGATAGTTTATGATATTGAATGATACTGGAACATCGTTTGCGGAACAAAATTCAGAGCGAGTGTAGTAAAATGTCTGTAAAATGGCCTATGTAAAGCAGTGATGTTAACTTAACCGAATTGCTTAACTGCAAGACGTGATGTTTTATTATTACAATTCAAAATACGATGAATGATTGTGAGCAAGAAACGACAACAGAAATGCTAGCTGGTGAGAAGAATGGCAACCATTTTGACATGTTTTATAATAATGTGAAAATTCGATTAGAATGACAGATATATGAGCAGCATTTGTTTAGAGGTACAAAACTTTTATACCTCTCTCCTATTACATATGGGAGAGGAGTAAAAATCCTCAAATTTAGACAAAATAATGACTCCGAAAATATGTGGAGAGCTGATGAGGTTCGGATGGGATACTTCGATTTCATATTCTCGTAGATAATCCATATTTCATTTGCACGAATGAATATCTATCCTATCGTGACAAAGATATTTTGTTAGAAATAAAATGCATTAATTTTTTATTGCTTCTTCAACACACTAGCATATATAAGTGAGTGACTATTCGAGTTAACGACAAAATGTTTTTTGTTGCTAACCAGTGAAATAACTCAATAAATGCAATCAATTGCCATCCATAACTCGACTCAACTTTTTCATCACATCACTTCATTAACATTCACTCATTTAGCACTCATCACCGCACTAATCGTCTTCGTCTATTGCTGTTTTGTTCTGTTCACTTCAAATTTTACTGCATTACTGTTACAGTTAGAAGATGGACAACAGCTCTACACGGCTCTATTCGTTGAACCCTTTGGACGGTGAATTACTGATGAAGGTACGTAGTGAATAGAGACCGTGAAGATTGATTACGCAAATCCATAAGCAAATTGAGCCAGTGATCAAGTAAATAGATCAAAGTGAATGGAATTACGAACAATTAAGCAAATCATCAAATTAGAACTCACGAATCAACATAGCTATGTTGGACATTGAATGTGGAATGTAGTGTAGGCCTAGTCCAATCGGTCTCATCTTCATAATCATAGTTGTCGATGAAACGATTTGCATCATTCAGCGCTCGGTGTTGAGTGGTCACAACGATAGCTGCACCAGGCTCACCGAACAAACGATAGATGAATCGTAGCTCACACTGAAATCAACACTTCAAGATATTTTTGTTGAATATTGTATTCTTAAGAAGAAGACGAAATAAAGACGAACTCGTAGCTGGTGACAAGAAATGTTCAAAATTTGAGACTGGAAAGCCTATTATGTGCTCAATACAAACAATTGTTCACTTTGCAATTCATTTTTTGATAAATTTCATCGTATCCATTTTTGATCTTCATGAAAGATCATTTCATGAGTTCAAGCAATAATATACGTAAATGCAATCAGCAAGGTTATCCATAGTGCTAAAGATAATCAGTGAAAGTTTGGAGTGAAGAAAGGCTTTTGAGAAATTCAAGACAATGGCAGGTTTGCTCGCTTCTCGTAAGCGATTATTGGATTTGGGATAGATGCTGCGGATCGTAATTTTGATAAAAAAGATCCAAGGTTGTTGAGTGACGACCTGCATGGAGAGATGTTGATAGTAAGGACTGATTATCATGGCCGGTTCCTCACGATATCGAGAAGCATTGAAATAGGCGAAATGTGCTGAAAATAGATGTTTGTGCGATTGTTTGTGCTGAATCCATCAAATCATTTTCATTTAGGGCTTATGTTAGGTTAACTGATTGATCAATTCACTGATAATGAAATCCGAAATGTTTACTTTGTGTGCATTCGGAAACAAGTGTTTATGCATACATCTATACGCAATTACATGCGGTTGTAAGCATTTACTGAGATGATCGCACATTAGATTTTCTTTCCAACACATTTACGGCAAGGCTAAAACAATGCGAACGGAAACGCGAGCGCTGTGGCCAGCAACGTTACAAACGTTTAAAAGCCTCGCCAATCCAGCTAATCTAGGAAAATCCAGGCATTTACGTATCATTAGACGCTCATGGAGTGAGCCGTGATAACAAATTATATTTCATCGAATGTTTCATACTTTCATATGTGGGAAACTCATTAACAGTCAGCTCTGATGTCAGCAATTCGTCCCATTTCATGTTTATCATTCATTATTTCTGGTAGTCTCATATCGCTCTGGTGGCTACTAATTGGACACGAACTGCTGCCTACGTGCATTTGCTGATAA